TAAACGAAAATTCCGAATTTGCCCTCTTATTTGAAATCGGTAATGACTTAGTTGCCACGTTATAGAATTGCGACTCAACTTTATAATTAACTAAAGCTTTCACGATATTAAATGAAATCCCATAATCCTTAAAGATCCTAATTAATATTTTTTGCAGGATTGGAAAAGATTTGATTCTAAAGTTAAAAGGTTCCGTATCCAGTAGCGGATTGCTACACTAATTAGCCTTGACTTGTGGTAAGTTCTCCCACTTTGGATAGGCTCCCAGGATTACCTAAGCTATCGCAGGGCTATAGAGGAAATAGACATATTACGGGGAGTTTATTCATTAAAATGCAATGGAGGAATTGTCAAACAATGCAGGGACTATTGATTGGTGGCTATACTGAGTGGTCTCTGTGCTCACGACCGCACTTGCTCCCTTCGTGACAAGTAGCATGACCGTACCTTCGAGTCCGCCTGAGTGCTCCATAACTCATAATTCCTTTACATTTCTTAATATTCAGAGGACAGTGCAATTTTTGTAGTTATTCCATCTCAACAAGGTTGAAATTGAACATCTCTCACTTCTTGGGATGGAAAAAATAGTCGAAATGGCACTAATTACCCTCCTTGTTTAAAATAATACTACCAATAATGATTGAAATGTAAAGACAAACGTTGGATTTTGCTTTAATTTCAATTAGACAACTTCAAATTAATTGGTTTCTACTTAATTCCAATTTAATGATAAATGAGTTGTGAATCTTTGTTACCATAAGCATTGCTCTCAAAAAATTTTGTAATCCCCCACCTGTACACATTTTAATTCGCTTTCTACTAATTAATTACAGTTGGCGTTCTTAATTGTAACTAGGAATTTGTTTTAACCACCCTGCATAATGGCGATGATATTTTAAATGCTAAATAATTGAACTTTGGAGTCCTGTAATCTGAGCGGCCACTTCTTCAAAAGCTGGTGCACTATGAAATGGAAAGTAAAAACAAAACGCAGAAATCTATTCATAAAAGTGCATTTCAATTAAGTAATTCAGTTTTCTAGCTTTCTTTCGCCTTTCACTTTAGGCGCGTAATTTGCGGGCCCTACGTACGGGCGTAAAAAACTCAGCCTTCGTTTAGCCAACTTCGTGTCTCATTATGGAAATTATTTTTTTTGCGCTTCAGACATCCACGTGAGAGCTTTAGGCCTCTTCGTGTGTAGGCCTTCTAATCGCCTGCACTCCACTGTTGATATGATATCAAAAAAACACTTATTAGTTACAACAAATTGGAATGCATAAATTGTCAATAAATAAGGAAAAAAACAATAACAGCGACAGCCAGAAGGCGTGAAAACCTTGCATTGAATAAGAATAATTAGTAGCATTTAAATATCTCACTGAATCACGGATGCATTTTTAATCGATTGGGCGGGTATTTAATTTAATTATTTATTGATTCTTGGTAGTGTTAAAAGTAGTACAATATTCAACAATTCACTTGAGGTCTGAACACTGCGAACATGGCCATCTAGGCACCTTCCCCCCCCCCCCCCCCCCCCCCCCCCCCTCCCTCGCCCCCCATTTTGAACCCTTACCTCATTCCTTATTGGGCTATTTCGACATTTTGTGAGTTCACAGGGCATAAGCAGAGTTTAGGGGAAACATAAAGCTAAGTGTGGAAGCATGAAAACGAATTGAATCAAAAGTATATACTAATATTATAGATGATTTGTGTTACTGATTAACTTAGGAAATTAAATCATGTCTTGGTTCTCTATTTATCCCATTAATTATAGATCTTAACTACATTTGCCTTGACAAAATGAAAATTTTTAATGCACCGAGCACTACTTTTACATAGAATGCGAAGTTGAGCAATTAAAATTTAAATAATTTAAGGAAAAATCAAATTTCTGTAATTGTAGGTACATATTGCTGAAAAGAATCGATCTACTCACACTTTGGATTTGGAAATTTTATTATAAATCATTTAATTCGCATTCAAGGAATCCAATGACTGCCTAACTTTACCTCATGCAAAATAATACTAAATTTTCAAATTGGGGGAAGTGAGAGGTGAAGATTTGAACTTCTTAAATGGATTAGTAACGTTTTTTCATTAACTGCTAATGAATTGTACCTAAATATTGCCACCTACTGAATCTTGGACAGCAGATGATCTGGGTCAGAAATTCCGTTACTAGAACTTTCAGCTTTGAACGATAAAATATTATGAATGCGTTGTTTGAATGTTTGATACGCCTTAAAATCACCTCACATTATTTCCCATTTGTGTGGGGACCAACTTCAGATTTGTCTTAACTGCTGAGGGCAGGCACAAAAGCAAATGTGAAGCCTTATCTGGCCCTTTCAAGAATAAAAGAAACTTCTTAAAACTTCGTTTGTTTTGTCTTACGAGAAGGAAATTGCAGGCAATCGAATAGTATTTATTTCCTTCTGCAACAGAAAAAATGACCATGATTTTAATCACCCTAGAGGTAAATATTAATGCATGTTTAAAATCAATGTTTTTTTCAATAACTAATGTGCTTCACAGACTGACAATAAATGGCAGATATCACCATTCCTCCACTCACATGCACCTTTAGTTGTATAATATAAATAGGATATTTCATGAGCAATTATTGATGGAAGGAAATCTGAAATGAGATTCACGTTATTCCTAGGCGGGGAAGGGAAGGACCTGGGTTAAATATAAAGGAAGAAAGTTTTCATGGCGTAAAACTTGAAACCAGTCGAAGGTGCTCCCCAACGCAATCTACAGCTTCTTGATCGTCAAAAATCTCCGTTTCAAGCGTCTAAAAAGGACAGAAAAATGGCTAGGTGAAGACATATATATACAATTTTAGCAAGAGGGTCAACGACTAGGTCATTGGGTATTTAATTAGATCTCCTATACCTGCGTGAATTTTGACATAACCTTAACAGTTCTCTGTGTGTGTGTGTGCGTGTGTGTACACCTACATTCCGGAACTAGGTCAAAATCTGGTAGCTTGCCGTAAATTATGGAACCAACGTGTCGCAGGCATAATTAATCTTTGAACTAGTTTTGACATCGTTATTTATGGCGTTTTTTTGCGCTAAGTAAAATTTTTATTTACTTACTAGTTTAACAAGAAATTCCTGAAAATATTTCTCCAGATGCCTTGAAACAAATTCTGCCATACAAATGACGGAATCGACTTCACTTCCTTTGGGAGTGCGTGGTGAGGATTGTCCGCTGGAACTAAAGAATTCTTGACCCTCTGAGAGGGATGACTAAAATTGAGAAAAAAATATGGAACATTAACTCGAACTTTATTTAATTATCTTCCCCTATGTGAGCAGAACGGTCCTTCTCAGGGGCAACCTTGATTTTAGAATTTTTCATAAATTATTCTTCGGATATTAACTTTTAGTACAAAATAGAGTGGGACTATTTATCAATATTCTTTCACATTAAGATCGTAATTATCAGACAAGTCATGGGTAGGATCAGCTTCGCAAACCATTTACAATTAATTCACTCAAACATTAAACAATTTTTTCTTTTCCAAAGTGAGCTAAGCCTTCCATTGACCTTCGTTAGCAAGACATTTCCCAAGGTCAACAATACTTAGTAATTCATAAATAAGGTATGATTGGAAAGCAGCCTCTCTAAAGTAGATTTTAAATATTTGACTTTTCAAGAACCCGCCAAATCATAGGCGTCTCTTAAAGTTTTACAATTTCTGTCCGTGGGGGAAGAATGTGCTGTATGATAATACATTTATATGATCAATGTACTGCAGAAATTGTCGTTAGTTGGCGTGGAAGACCCAGTTACCAGGTCCTGGGAAGGACTTCGGATAGATTTCGAAAAAGTAAAATGAATACTTCGTCGTATTGCAAAATTCAATTAAAAAATCGCATTATTGACTAGGTGTGTTAAATATAGAGTCAATTAGCTATTGCCTACTGAGGAATATTTGTGATGGCAGATTGAAATGGCTGAGAGAGAGGAGAGGTTGATATAAACTGAATTAGTGACTCAAATGGGTCCAAACGAAAGCGTAAACATTTAAAAGTCAACTCTTGCAAAACATCACAACATAGAGGAGTGGTGGGGGTGGGGCAGGGAGGGAGGAGGGAGAGCGGAAAGACCTCGTGCAATTTGCACTTAGTTTGACATGTTTGACCGAAACTGTCGATAGGCAATTTAGTCCCTCGTTGCTATTCTGCTTTTTCGGCTTTACGAAATGAGGTTTCTACTGATATTTATTTTTTTCACCTGAGTTTTTTGGATTTGAAAAAAACGATTATGTATAACCCCAAAGGTATTAATTTTATGACTTTCGATATAAATAAGATAAGGTGCGCAAATTACTCGTCGTATAATTAAATATTCCCCTCATCACTTATTATTATTATTGAGTTCTTGATAAGCCAAATTCCTTTTTTAACATAGGAAGCATCCATAACTCACTTCTTCTGGTGATAAGAAGTCTATCGATTTTTCCCCACTTAACACCTTGATCGGAACCGTTATCCTGAAAATTAAAATTAAATTCTAATTTGACGTGACAAAGTCGTTGACACCTTCCTGTTCTTCCAAAACTCGTCTGCGCTGTTTGTGTGGTTGAGAAGACCACCCGCTGGGGTATTTTCCCATCTTACTGTGCCAACTTTTTTTACGCTGAATCATTCTTTACTGCAGTTATTTCACCTATACGTGTGAAATGGGACAGAATTAACCGTAAATTCTTCCATTTTTGCTGAAAGTATTGACTTAACGCTAAGATGCCACTTCAGGAGGACTTTCAAATCACCTTTTTTAGGGAAAAAATTACCCGAAAAATAGAGACGTTAGGATAGATAGGATTTCTATTCTTTTTTTTCTTACAAACTACCATAAATTAGTTATTTGAGAATGTATCGATGGGGAAAGCTTCATGTTTTAACTCGAAAATGACTTTATGGGGAAACTTTGTGTCTTGAACCGATTTTCACATGAAATATGAGCAGTATTGAGACATTCAGCAATTGAAACTATGATTAACTCCCCTGAGTAAAATGGTAATCAATCCAGACAGAGAATCAATCGAAGAGTCCACTAAACCAAGTAAAAGGTACACCGTGTAGTAGAGTTTGCTTTAATGGAACCAAGAAGAATGTTTCTCGCTCTAAAGCTACTTTTGGTTCATCTGGTGCAAAGGAAACTTAGAGAGCAAGCTTATATAGAGTCAATTAGGTCACTGAGGAAGACCTTTTTCTAGATCATAATTTGCTATTTTTTGTATATATATGAAAGTAAAACTCGCAGAATCAATGGGATCAATCTTCCTCGGTCACACCCATATTCACCCCCATTTTTGGATGTTCCAAGTCCGATACCAATTTGCAATTCACTGCGCAACAGAAAGCCACCCGCAGGTCAAGTGATTCCCTACATGTTCACATTTAGCGGAACGGTTGTAGCCTAATGACTTTTGACCTCTTATTAAGAATAATAAGAGAGGACAAAGTCAGCGATCAAATGTGGTATACAGAAGGGTGAGTTTGTATCAGTGTTCGTACTTACTGTACTTGAAAAATGTCTTCCTGAGAAAAATTCGAATGTTTTTTTTGCCGATTTCAGTTTTAAATGAGGGCACTTAACGTGTGACATTGGTCCCAAGAAATGTACTTTAAGGTTGGGGGTGGGGAAGGGGGTGGGGCAGGGGGGGGGAGGAAATCCACAGGTAAAATGTTATAAATGCTGTAAACTGTTTTCTTCATATAATCCCCCCCCCTACCGCCCTTCACTTGAAAAGGACTAAAAGACCAATTTGCTATGGCCCTTGAACTAGAATTAAGTGAAATCGATGATGCACTACATATTATTAGCCAACAGTCTTGTGATCGGTGATCAATACGCGATGATGATATCAATGGTAATGAGAGAGATAAACTAAAGTTTATTTCGAAGACCATTATTATGTCTCAAGATTAGTGAAAACCAAATAACATGTCTCATTACTTTTAATAAATTGTTTTGTCAGTGGTTTTTTTTGCATTTTTATAAAACCCATTCTTTTGCACTTTACCAGAATTCGAAAACTGTCAAACTAGCATCACAGAAGTAAATGCAATAGAGTGACAATCTTCTTTCCCCTCCAATCCGTCCAATTTTTTTTAAAAAAAGTATCCTCCGGATAAATTTGTCACCTATCGCATTGTACAACGGTATAAAAGATAAATAATCAATTATTGTCTGGGTGTTATTGCACAATTTGTGTAGTAGTCACAGGACTCAATGATGATTTTATCATTCGATATAACAAAACAGTGAAAAGAACGATTAATATTTTTTTGCACTAGTCTGAACAGCAGCACTATTTATTGTGTCATTTCCGAATTCCAACGCTAGAACTTGTGAAAAAAAGTAGGAAAGGCCTAAACCCAGACACAAACTACTTGTGCCCTCTTGGTCGCGTGGAAAGCAGGTTTAAATTTGCCCCACAAACAGAGTGCCAAGAAAGCAGAGGGTAGAAAAGAGAATGTAAAGTATGACGGGGGGGGGGGAATGGTGTTATGGAGAAGGATTTAGATCCAGGAATTTAAAAGTTGAATACGCCGAAAGAGAGAGAGAGAGAGAGATTATAAGAGTTCTAATATTTTTTTGGCATGACTACCGTGATCCTACTGTACTCACCTTTCCTTTTTCTCAACCTACATGTCTGTCTCGTTTGCATCTATGAACTACTCTTCCGTTCCCCCTCTCCACTTTTCGTGACTATGATGCTCCTCCCCTCTGTGAAGTCCTAAGTCAGCTAGAGGGTTAATGCTAACTATTATAAAGCCCGCCATTTGATATCAATAAATAATTAATTTTCTTCTAACCTTGAAAGGAAACAGATGTCCACCTTGCCATTACAATATAAATTAAAGGGGAAACTTTATGTTAAATTATATGCAATGTGTTTAGGATATTTTTTCAGAGGAATACTTGATTGTTTTTTCTAAGGTGTGTCAATGGTGTTCAGACACTTCATTGCCAACATTTAAAACCTGTTCCATGCACCTTAATGATGAAAGGGGGAATTCATGATGACAGAAACACAGCCAGATCATTTTAGATCAAAATGATTAATGTTGTCCAGTCAAAATAAGGAGAGTATTGTTGCCGCTCAATGCTACTGTACGTTGAGAAAACGATCCGCCATGAAATGGAGAATTGCAGTGAAGACTGCAAGTTTGCTGTGGCAGCATAAAAGATGAAATAATATATTTTGCGTTCTCTTTGCGGATTTTAGGGAAACTATTCTTCAGTCGAAGGAGCTGAGGCACCTTGACACCTTGCAATGTTCAACCAAACCATGACGTTTGCGGTCAGTCATGATCTTCACTTCTGCAAGTGTCATGGAAGTCGACTCAGCACTGAAGAAAATCCCGAAAATGGTCTTGAAATTTTTAAGAAACTTCTGATCAGAATGAGACATTCTGTTAAAGCTTAACCAATCCTGTTCTTCTCCGATCATAACAACTTTTGATGCGATAAAAAGTAAAAGAATCAGAGTTGGAGGTAGTTTGGAATGCCTCAAACCATGCAAACAAAATTCTTCCCACCCCCTATTCTCCCCCCCCCTCCTCCCAAGGGAGATGGAATGTATCCCTCTGCATTCATTTCAGGCGGAGCACAAGTTGACTTCAAACACCTTCATGCATTTATTGGCCATTGCAGTAGTTTAACCCTGGATAATGAGGGCGGATAATACTAGACTCGCCGTTGATCGTATTTGGCACACTGCCACATCTTGGGGACAGTGGCAAAATTTTTAATGTGATAACCTATAAGGTGTGTGTATTGGATGCTGTCGAGGAGCACATCAATCGACGTGCCAGAAATATAAAATCCTCAGGTAATAAACAGAATAAGATCAGTTTTTTTCTAGTTCCTTCTCAGATAAAGTGAAGCAACAGCTTGCTCTAGGTTCCAGGGCCTTATCGAGATTTTACAAGACACCAACGAGAATGGTTTTGAGTAAAACTCTTCCACAACAGTATAATCTCGTTGTCAGTTGAATTTCCACAAAACTTGTTAAACTTTGTAACTGTAACCGACAAATTTTCCCCATTTTATGACGGAACTGCCAAAATTATATGATACAATAAGAAGACATTAGAATTCAATTTGAATTGAGAAATTAAAATCCAAATTTATTGATTATACTCAACTACAGGATTTAAGATATTAGATTTAGTTTGACATTCATTGAATATTGTAGTAATTGTTAACTAGATTATTTTTGTCGTAGAAA